CAAAAAGTCCAGACAGCCTTACTACCCTGTGGTAGCCTTGAGTCAACCGCAAGACATGCCTAGCAAATCTGGTTCAAGTTCTACATCAATGGGTCAGATGCCACGGAAGGGTGACTTCAAGTATGACAAGACTAAAAGCTCTGTGAAAAGTTCAAATGCGAAACGCAAGCCAAACGAGTTCACACCACGGAGAGAAGATGCAAATTTCACTGAAGCAGAAATCGCTGAAGCCTTTGCCTACATGGTGAACGAGGTCTTCACTGGAACTGAGTCCTTAGACGTGCTGCTTGCGTCAATTCCTGATGGCTGTGCAGTGATCGATACTGGTTGCACGACCAGTGTGGTAGGTCAACAAACGGCTGAACGTTTTTCCAAATTGTTTCAAAGCCTGACCCTGCCGATTCCAAAGCCATGTGAATTGCCTGCAGTAGAGTTGAAGGGATTTAGTGGGGATAAGAGGGTGACCACCAAGGGATTGAAATGGCCTGTGAAAATTGGAAGTCTTTGGGGAACCATAACTACATATGTTGTTGAAGGTCCCACACCGTTTTTGCTTTCACGTCGTGTGCTTGAGGGGATGGAGGCAACCTTAGATATGGGGAATGGCACCATCACCAGCAAAAAGCACAACATGGTGAATTTCCCGCTGAAACGGGCTTCCAATGGTCATTTCCTCCTGCCGTTTTGTGAGATCCCGTCCGAGTTTCAGCTTGATGTTTCAAAGCGATCTGCTGATGTGAGTTTAGCTGATACTGGAGATATGCCCAGTGACCTATCCGAGCCGATGTCATCATCCGATGACGACAGCAGAGAAGCCGGCCGTGCTGACACCAATGAGCCCAATGACGCAGCCCCTGCAGCCGCTGAGCAGAGGCACGAACCGACTGAGGTTTCCACAAAAGTAGCCAAAACATGTGCACCAAAAAGAGGTGACAATGTAAGAAGTAGAAAACAGCTTTTGCAGCACATAGCCAAAAATACTCGTCAAGGGATTGTGAATGTTGAAAGATTCCGAGAGCAGTTGATAGGAATAGTAGGTGGCAGAGCAGCCGAATGCACCCATGCCTTCATAGCCTATAGACCTAGACTTGAACGCATTCCCCCTGATGCTTCAACCCAGTCTTATTTGAGCTGTAGGGTAACCCTATCCACTGAGGGAGATTTCCAAGTCCAACCATGGGTCACTCGCCCGCCAGGTAATGAGAGATCCAGAGTTGCCCAGACGAACATCGCCTTGTTCGTGCACATTCCCATTGAACGACCGCCAGTGCCAGTGCCAGCTGAGACAGCTAGTCACTGCCAGTGCTGCTGTGAACAAGTGGATCCATCCATGGAGATTCAACCACCACCATGTCCCCCAATAGAATCATTGTATGATGATGTTGATTGGGTAAACATGAGACCAACTGAAATAAAGGATGGATTTAGAAATGTGATAAGTAAAGGGGTTAGATCGGTTAGAAAGGTCAATAGCCAACTGGTTTTGTCCTGCATGCAAGCAGAACCTCAAAAGGTCCGAGAAGAACTAGAAGAATGGCTTGGCCCGCAAGCCCATGCACTGGACTCACCAGTTCAAATGATCGAGGTGTTTACCGATAGAGCTCCACTTGCCAAAAAGCTGCATAAACAAACCGGTAAATCATGCATTATCTTGGGCCTGAAACATGGCCAGGATTTCAACAAGTTGACAGATCGCCGCATGTTGCTTTACTTGATTGCATGGTGTAGGCCGGAACACGTATGGTTTTCATTTCCTTGTGGATGTTGGGGTCCCTGGAGTAGATTCAATCTTGCAAAGGGAGGACCCAGTGAAACCACAGTGTTGCAGCAGCGCAAAATTGCCAAAAGGCACCTGAGTGCCGTTTCTGAAGCGTGGCAGTTACAGCGTTTGTTTGGTGGTCACTGTCATGCGGAGAACCCATTGACTTCTGAAGCATGGTCACAGTTGCAATTGCTTGATTTCCATGAAGTCCGCATTGACATGTGCAGCCTTGGCATGCGATGTCCAAAGACAAACGTCCCTGTGCTTAAGCCCACGAAGATCGTCACCACGATGCCAGAACTTGCAGAACGACTGCTGAAGTGCCGTTGTGATCATTTGCACCAACATGCCCATCTTGAAGGTGCGTACAAGGGTCGCAACTTGTCCTCTTGGTGTGAAGTTTATCCAAGTAAGTTCTGCCGAGTAGTCTCTGAAGTTCTGAGCAACTGCCGTGCCAAGTCACCGAGACTTGAAGATGTTTTGTTTGACGAATCCGATGCACTTGAACCAGCTGATCCGGAACAACCTGTTCCTAACTCAGAGGGCGCAGTTGCAGCCGCAGCACAGCCTGAGCAAAGACCTGAAAAGATCAAAGCAATAATCCAAAAGTTGCATACAAACACCGGTCATGCATCCGTTGAACAAATGCTCAGACTTGCCAAGCGTTGCCAATCGTCCCAAGAAGTTCAAGATGCCATCCGAAAGTTCCGTTGCCCTGTGTGCGAGGAGTTGAAAGTACCACCATCTCGAAGGCAAGCTGCAATGCCCCATGCCGATAAGCCTAATGACATAGTAGGTGTTGACTATGTTCAAGTTGAATTGAAGAAAGAGGATGAGCATGGAAAATTGGTGGAAATCAAAAGAAACGTCCTCACATGCGTTTGCTTAGGAACAGGTTTTGCCCAGCAGATTATTTGTCCTACTGGCCATTCAATGGCAGAAGCATTTCATAATGTTTGGTCGCGTCCATATGGTTTGCCAAACACCATCTACATGGACCCAGCCATGGCAAATATCAGCAAGCCTTTCCAAGCATACTTGGCACGAAACGATGTCAAACTTCTTTTGGCCGCAGCCGAGTCCCATTGGCAACTTGGTTTGGTTGAAGTGACAAACAGGATTCTCAGAAACATGGCGCAAAAAGTGTGGAGAACCACAAATAGAAGTGTAGAAGAAACAATTGAGATGTGTGCCACCACAAGAAACGAGCAGTTGAGACGTTGTGGATTTAGCCCCTCACAATGGTTTCTTGGTCAGGATTCCCGTCAAGTTGGTATGTTGAGAGACCTTGAACAACAAAACAACATAACCACTGCTTCACGATACCTAGCCGATCCTGATTTCCATGATAAAGTTCGATTGAGAGAACAAGCTGCAGTAGCATTTCATGAAGAACATGCACGTGACATCTGGCGCCGAGCTGTCGCCGGCAGAGCAAGACCCATCCGGGGTCCATACCAAGTTGGTCAATTGGTTTATGTCTTCCGTCGCAGAGCCAGAGGTCTTTTGTCAACACGTCATGGAGTTTGGATAGGTCCGGGTAGAGTAGTGGGAATAGAAAGCGAAAGCGGGGGTCCAGTTCCTAGACTTGTTTGGGTAAGCCATAATGGTTACTTATACAGGTGCAGCCCAGAGGGACTTCGACCAGTGCCAGAGGACGAAGCTGAATTCCGCAGCCTTGCCCGTTCTTTGTCGGAAGGACGTCTGCATCCCGAGCTGGAGCAAGCTGAACAAAATGTTTCCTCCAAATCAGGTCAGTTTGAAGATCTTTCAGAAGAACACAAACCCATAGAAGAAGATCATGAACTTGAGGATGATTTGTGGGAAGAGCCGAATGTAGAAGACTCACAGCTTGAACAAGGTCCCAAAAAGATCAGGCGTAGGTTCTACAGGTCAGATGACTATTGGAGAAGAAGGGCAGAGGGCGCACCGCCACTAGGGCCACTACATGATGATGTAGACCTCCCCCAAGTAGCCCGCCTAAAATCCAGTAGGTCTTTAGAACCCGATGAAGATGATAATGTAGAACCAGATAGAAAAAGGCAAGTTACTGTAACCGATGATGTTGAAAAATACTCATACGAGCCAACTTCGCCTGCCAAATCGCCAAGACCCAGCCTTGATGATGCAGAGATCGGTCAAGATGCGCAATCTGGTGTACAGTCAGAAGCTTTGCCTGAAACTCCTGAATCACAACCTCCGATCACTTCCGAAGATGAAACCGCAGTCAATGATCCAATGCCACCTGCAGAACCCGAACCTAGAGCTGTACAACCTCATGAAGTTCCGGTGCCAATGGATGATGGTGATGAACTGATTGTAGAACATGAAGAAAACAATCCGGTTCCTGGTAAGCATGATGTCATGGAAGTATCTATAGAAGTCCGCCCAGAGGACATCACTGAACAACAGTTGTGCTTGTGGGAAGTGATTGAAGATTGCTTCGTCGTGCAGCAGCCAGCGAAACAACGCCGGGTAGAGGTCAGTTTCCGGAAATTGAGTGAGGAGGATAAGAAAAGGTTTGAGGTTGCAATGAAAAAGGAGTGGCAGTCATGGATAGATAATAAAGTAACCTCCATCTGTAAATCCCGGGGAATTCCCAGAGAACGGGTGATCAGGGCGCGATGGGTTTTAGTGTGGAAAAAATCATCAGACCCAGATGATAGGTCAAAAAACCCCAAAGCTAGACTAGTACTAGTGGGATGGCAAGATCCTGAACTAGGAAAAATAGCTACAGATAGTCCAACCCTCAAAAAGGAGTCCAAAAATCTGATTCTTTCAATTTGTGCCGCAAAGAAATGGCGAATTTGGGGAGCAGATATCAAAACCGCATTCCTAAGCGGAGACCCTTCTGAGAGACAGTTGTACTTCAGACCGCCCCCTGAAATAAAAAGATGGATGGACCTCACCGACGAGGACCTGTTTCGCTTGGAGAAAGCAGCCTACGGGCTAGCAGAAGCCCCACGGGCCTGGTTTCTCAGGTTGAGCCGAGAGTTAGCCCAACAAGGTCTAAAGGTATCCCAATTGGACCGCTGTTTGTTTTCCCTGAGAAATTCCAAAAACGAACTGGTTGGTGTTTGTGGTGTTCATGTTGACGACCTTCTAGGTGGAGGAACCCCAGAAATGGATGCTGTTCTTGAAAAACTAAGGAAGTGCCTTCCCTTTGGTGATTTCAGAACATATACAATCCGTTACACTGGAATAGAGATCCGTCAGAACCCCAATACATTTGCCATCGAGATTAATCAGGAAACATACATCGATTCCTTGGAGCCTGTCTCAACCAAGAGCCTTGGGTCTTCAGGAACCCCTGTGCGTGATCCTTCTTTGCTGCGAAGGTGTGCTGGACAGCTGGCATGGGCCGCAGGTTCAACACGTCCTGACAAAGCATTCTTAGCCTCTTATTTGCAAGGTATCCAGGATAAAGCCACTGTAAGCCATGTTGAACTTTACAACAAAGCACTGAGAGAGATGAAAGAAAGAAAAGTTGTAATGAAGTTTCCCTCAAATGTTCCAATAGAACAATGGCGAATAGTGTGTATATCCGATGCCGGCCATGCAAAGAGAGCCAATGGGGATTCGCAGGGTGGTTACCTCTTGGGACTCACCAATACCTTGATGAGAGATCGGAAAACCGCACCGATGTGGTTGGTGGATTGGGCAAGCAAAAAGTTGCAGCGTGTGGTCCGTTCCTCAACAGCCGCAGAAACACATGCTGGAAACAATGCCTTAGACGCCATAGAGTTCTTTCAAGGTCTTCTTGCAGAAACAGTGTATGGAATCTCACCCAGAGAATTCCGAAAACAAAGGCCGAAACACCCAGCCTTGCTTGTTGTGGATTCCAGAGGTTTCTATGATGCTTCCAGTAAACTGAGCAGTGCATCCACCAGTCAAGAGAAAAAGTTAGAACTAGAACATGCCATTGCCAGAGACTCCATGTTGCGTCAAAATATAGAAATATACTGGATAAACAATAAGTACATGGCCGCTGACATTCTCACAAAACTCAATAGCGACAGTAAACCTTTCTTTGACTTGATGGAGAGTGGAAAATATCAGATCAAAGTTTGTAAGGAGTCCGGGAGTAAAGAGAAAGCCAGCGACAAGCGAGCCGAACAGGTCAGTCAAGGTAAACAGCCGTGAGAAGCAACCTTTTGCATAACCATAAGTAAGCCTGACTAAGTCATATGCTGAAAGAGTTTTTCATGTACAGAACTGCATGCGTCTCAGTGTGAAGATACTGAGAGCCATCCAGAAATGCCGTTTTTCCGTGCTTTATCACTTAGAGATTTGCCAGGTAGCTGAACCGAGTAGCCTGCTGAGTGTGTACAGTTTTTGATCCAAACGCCGTTAGCGTGATTTCTGAGAGCCATGTCCCAGATGCCTCGCAAGATCTCCAAGAAAGCCGCAGAGACGCCAAAGTTGAATGAGGTTGAGATTTCGATGACTGTTGGTTTGCTCACTCGGGCGATTGCCAACAATCAAGCTCGCCCCATCTTTGAGCGTACAGCTGCCGAAGATCCCCAGTCATGTCAGTGGCTGAAGAACTACATCCCAGGTTTTGATGTGCCTGGTGGTATGTCCGAAGCTGCAAAGCGTGTTCGGGATGAGATCGAGAGTTCCCATGGTGAAAGCCCACGTTCAACTGTGTGGAGTGTGGTTGGCCGTGGTGAGAATTCTTTGCCGAGTGGCTATGATGCTGTCACAACTCCTACGCCTGCCGTGGTTGAGCCCAATGTGACCACCATCAGCCAAGTGATCAGGGATGTCCATACCCGTCAGAATGTCAAGATTTCTCTGCCAGTGGATTGTGTTGATGTGGATGATTGGTCGAAGACCGTGATCGTTATGAAGAAGTATGAGAATCAGGGATATCGCTATTCTACGTTGGTTGCCGAAGCAATGCACAACGCTGAAGCCAAAGGATATCTCCAATGGTTGGTGAAGACCTATGGCAAGGATGTTGACACACCTTGTGATACCCAGGCCACTGACTTTGCCAGATTCCTCCTTCGCATCAAATGGCTTGAGACTGATGGCAACAAGGGAACTGGACGCTTCCAACGTTCGCGCTAG